TCAGTGCTTTCCAAGCTTTTTCGACTCACGGTGCCCTTTTTGATCTAAGGTTTTTTTCAGGGCACCTTTCCTCAAGTCATAGCATGACTAATTATACGGACCATTTTAGAACAAATATTATTTCATAACGGCGCGGCGCCCCTGTACAGATATCGTGGCGCAACCAGGGCAAAGTGTACACTTTGGGAACCGCTGTTTTAAGTAATTTTCACTGGGTAGCACTTCGTCTACATGAGGAACATAGATGGAAAGTCAACTCCTGCCCCGAAATGTTTTATTTACTGAATTCTACTGAGATATATATCAACATTACCGATTTTACAATAATAAAATTTTTAAAAATAGAATAAAGTATACATCTATCAGTAACTGCATTTAAAAAAAATTGACTCTAAACTGTTTTTGATTTAAGTCATAAAATAATACATTGATTTATCGAACAGTTTTCAAGTAGTTTGTTACGGAAATTAATAATTTAATAAACATAAGTAAATAATTAATGAATAATAAACATTTAGTTTAATATTAAAATAGTTCTATAGAAAAGTTAGCTGTAGCTTATTTTGCTTAATTAATTTGCTATTTAATAAATGACTGACGTACAGAATTCCTCTAAACGGTACTCGTTTAATATGAAACCTAACGAATAAATGTTAGTCCGGGTCCACACTAGAGCAACAAACAGTTCCTGAATGTTGACAAGTGTTTCTAATTGTTTTTGTTTCCTTGGAACAAACTGGAACAATTATAAACACATCATAGTAACAAATTTCTAGTAACAACTTAATAGAAACAATTCAAAACCTGTTGCTCTGTGTTTCTTGCGACTATGCGTCTACACTAGTGATGGGCATAACCGAATAATTCTGATTACCGACTATTAGTTATACATTAAGTATTATATTAAATCAGTGTTGGCCAAAACCATAGGCACAATTTGGGGGGGCTCTTGGGTGTGCTTAGCACCCCCATTTTTTTAAATTAGCACTCCTAAATGTGTTTATGTTAATTTACATTTAAATACTCATTACTTATTATCTATAGCAAAATAAAGTTTTTATCGTATAAATGTATAAATTTATTATTTAAATAATGGTTGTGGAAGTTTGTCCTTCGTCTTTTCGGGTAGAATACGATTGCATACGCCGCTTATCGGCAATACCTTTTTCAACCATTTTTATAACACGATTGCATACGTTATTTTTATGCAACGTTGTCACTTGTCACGCCAGGAAATTTCCCGATAAACCTGGAACGATAGCAAATGATCATCGTGAAATGAAAGTTTACATTACTTATAACCGCTGTAGATGTTATTAGTTGACCGACCACCGTTCACACCAAGAGTAGAAAAATAATAGAAAAAAATATGAAAAATTTGGAAAATCAAGAAATTAAAATAATTACATCAGAACGCGGAAAAGACTTGGCATTAACTGGCTCAAACAACTATCGTTGTATACGCCAACGAAAAGACGGGCTAATTAAATGGTTGTGCACACAAAGTACATGTACGCCAGTATATTAATAGACAGTGGACGTTCAAAAATTAAATCAATTTTGGGTGAGTACAACAATATTTTAAATACAAAGAAGAAAATTGAACACCAAATTTTACGAGAAAATTGTAAACGTAAAGCAGATGATTCGATTTCAATTAGGCCATCAAAAATAATCAGATCTGAGCTCATGGCAACTAATTTTGAAGTGCCACACTCAGCTATAAAATCTATAAGAAAATCAATGTAAGACAAAAGACGAAAAAATTATCCTCCTTTCCCAGATTCATTGACCTCAATTCATTGACATTGTACTCTATCTCAGTTAAGACAAATGGAAGATGATTGTCTGAAATTTAAAAATGAAAAATTTGTTCACGCTCCAGATGATTTGCAATTTATTTGCATTACGACGAAGATAAATATTAATATATTATTACAGTGTAAAGATGTATTTGTAGATAGTACGTTTTAATACGCACCCAAATACTTTTTGCAACTTTATATAATACACGTATTAAAGAATGGTTATTATTTACCTTTGGTTTATTTTTTTTTTAAGTGACAAATGCAGAGAAACTTATATTCAAATGTGGACGTATTTAATTGAATTAAGCTCGAAATATTAAATATAAAACAATTGCATGTTGATTTTGAAATTGTTGCCCACGAAGCTGCAAAAACGGTGTTTCCTGAAATAAAAATTATTGGTTGTCGATTTCATTTAGGCCAAGCTTGGTAGCGTAAGGTAAATATCTATAATTATAACATAAAAAAATTGTTATTAATAAAATATTTTATTGATGAGATACAAAACCACAATATTTTACGATCATCGTATATTAATGAAGACGAATTGGGCCAGTGGTTAAAATTATTTTCTAGACTACCATTTCTACCATTCGAACAAGTTGAAGATGGTTTTATTCAAATTATGAGTTCATGTCCAAACGAAACTGATGGTCATATATTCTCGGATTATATTTTAAAGACTTATATTGAACCTGAGTGTTTATTTCCCCCTGAAATATGGATAAAATAAATGTATTATTATAAATTTGGCAACGTGGCATACGCAATCATGTCGTTTTACGGGGTTCCCTTTGTTATACAGGAAACATACGCAATCGTGTTCTCAAAAAGGTAAATCGTACGCAATCGGGTTCTACCCGTCTTTTCGGTCCTCGAACTGGATAATAGTAATAGGTAGCAGTGGCGTATCCATGGGGGGTTTTAGGGGTCAGAATCCCCCACCCCCATGAAACCTGAGATAGTAAATTAACTTTTACTTGAAACACGGTTTTTTCTTTAACATTTTTATATTTTAGAATTTTGACTTGGAAATCGTATTAATAGTTTGTATAAACACTATAAACACTGCACAACGCTGCACACACACACAAGTTATAATATTATGATCATATTTAGATACTTTACTACTACTTTGATAATTTTTGCTTGGGAACATATTATTTAGGTTTTCTACAACGGTTGATACTAAATTGATCGTTTGGTCCCGATAGTTGAAATAAGAGCGATATCATTGTCTGTATTAAAAGTTTATTTTGGGTATACCTATTGCATTCAAGACTCGCCGATCATTTAACACAAGCACCTTATTGTGTAAAACTAATAGTTATTATATATTTATAGTTAGGGCTCGGGACTTCTAGGAACTTGCATGATTTTAAATAATTATACAAAACATAGCTAAGTAATATATAAATTTGTTTCATTGCAATACAAGTTAATATTTAAAATTTATATTTGCATATTTTGCATATTTGACCATTTTTCATTTATAAGTGCATATTTGACCATTTTTCATTTTATAAATGCAAATTTGACAATTATTCATATGGAGAAGTAAGTTTTTAAATTTTATAAAAAAAAATTATGATTTATTTCTTCATATATCACGCGACTTGGAACTCTAAGTGTCTTATTGGTGAACTAACTGAATGCATTAAAATAATTAAAAGTACAAAAAACGTATACATTCTGTAAAAATTGAAGAATCTGCACAAGCTAAGGCTAACTACAAAAAATATCGAATATTTTAAATGGAAAAAATGAATCTATAGATGGATTGTCTGCAGATATTAGTATTAGTGACCTACGATTTTTTAAGTTTGCACCAATAAGTTCCGTAGACGTGTAACGTTCCTTTTCTAAATATAAAAATATTTTGGCTGATAACAGGCAGTCATTTAAATTTTCCAACTTAAGAAAATATCTTATAGTCTAATGTAATGCTCAAGGTTAGAAGAATTATAACTATATTAAAAATAAAAAAAATGTTTTCAATTTAATTTATTTTTAAAACCATTTTAAATATTTTGTTTTAGATAAAAACTCAATATAAGATAAAAAACAAATTTGAAAAAAAGAAAAAATTATCTTAGATCATCATATCTATCATATATAAAAATATTATTATAATTTATTACTAATTAATTTTTTATAAATGCATATTTTAATAGCATATTTATTGATTATTTAGGGCATAAATGCATACATATTTTAACGTTTATAAGGGCATGAAGTCCCTAGCTCTAGTTATAGTTAATAGTTGGTCGTTGCCCATTGGTGTTTCACTGTTTTACTTACTACTCGTTTATTCGTTTGTATTTGACATTTGTATTCCATTACATTTGTTTTATTTTAATTTAAAACATTCCATTACGGTAGGATATTTTTAAAATTTAATTTTAGTTTAGGCCTAAGTGATTGGACAGAAAATATTCTAATATCTAATACTTATGTTCCTATATTAGTTTCTAAATTATTATTATTATTATTTATTATTATAGGCAAATTTCCTAACAAATAAGCAGACTAGAAAAATTAATTTTTTTTTTTTACCTGAGTCAAAAAAACTAATGTCAACCAGACTTAAAAATACCGATATCAATACAAATAGTAGTCAAAATGATAGTGATAAGATTAAATATATATAAATTTGCTGAACCCCCCCCCATAAAAAGTTCCTGGCTACGCCATGTGTATGAAAAAGCCTTTTATACAAACACAGTTCTCGTTATCAAATATTTTTTTAATCTAAATACAAACATTTTTTCGCCATTACCCTTTTTTCCTGAGTACCGTAATGTACCTTTTCATGTACCCCTGTGGTTAGGAGACACTGGTATAAGGTATATTTACAGGATCATCCATCATAAAGTGTGACGGATGAACATATTGAGATTTAATATTGTATATTTGTTCATATTTGATTTTGTTCTATGTTTATTATCATTATGACTTCAACAGTAGTAAGAGTAAAAATCAATATAACACATCACATAATCAAATATAAATTTTATTAACAATTAAAAAATAAACAGTCTAAATAGAAACACTGATTACCGTATGAATACCATGAATTATAACCAATACATAGAAGATAGATTTTTTAATAATAAACAAACATGAATTCTTAAGGGATATACAGTTATAGTTTCCACATTTAAAAAATTTACTATGTAAATACAAACTTAAAAAATGGTGTCTTTTACAGTGGTACCCAAGTTACATCTTATAATAAAATTTCATAGTTTAAAAAAATAGATATACATGTATATTTTGTGAATATTATTCTAAATATAAATATAATATAAAGTACAGTAATAATATGTTAATAAAATAATTGTAAATAAAGTTGTTTAATTTAATTACTTATATAATATTATAATTTATTAAACTAAAATGTTTTGGAAAGAATGGAAACATAATACAGAAAGTACACAAAAATTTTAGTCTTAACTCTACACAGTGTTGTTAAATATTCAACTAATAACTTTTTTTGTTTTTTTATAAGCCATGTCATAGTTAACATATTGAGTCATAACTGCAGATAATACAAATTCGGAAGAATAAATACCTGAAATGAAAATACATAATAAATTTTAAGTTAATATATTTTAGCAGAATAAATTAGATAACTTAAGATGCAGTTCCAATCATTTTTTATATATTTTTAAAATCTAGATTAGTCAGTATAATTAATTTAAAGCAGTAGTAACCAAAAATTTATTAGTAAGGACCTTAAAAAATGTCAAGAATTTAAAGTGATTCCTTTAAGTTCATAGATAAGAAATATTAAATGTATAGATACATATATATATATATATATATATATACGTAAACTTCTTAAAATCTTATCCTAAAATAAGAATTAATGGTTTGATTTAATACTTCGGTTAGGTAATTAACAACAATGAAAAAAAAAGTATAAATAATAAAAAAATGTATTCATTTATATTTTATTTAAATTATATATGTTACAGTTAAAGTATTGAATTCCGTTGTTTTATGAAATAACTAGGTAGTTAATGGATTACCTACGAATGTTAGAATGTTTGAATCATACATGACAATTATACTTTAACTAGTTATTTCATAGAATATCTAGTTATTCTATACTATTTTAGTTTGATATATTTTTAAATATAAAATACATCATAACATTTTATTTATTTTAAATTTAATTATTTATTAGTATATACAAGGCTATTATAAAGATAGACGAACCCACACTGAATGTGTATGACTGTAAGACAATTATTATACTTTAAACCTCACCAATTTTATTGAAAATCTTAATAATAATACATATGCAACTATAATTTTATCTAACACGATAAACGTACATGAATAATGCAATCACAGACGACAAGAACGTCAATTTTATATTTTATTTATATTGCTATGATGGACAGTAAAATAATGGTATTTTACATGTATGAATGTATCAATTTGACACATTAACAAAGTGATGCCAGTCAATGTATAAAATAACTAGTTCAAGTATAAATTATATACATTATATACTACATGTTTTAGTTATTTAATAAATTATCTAGTAATTTCAATACTTAATATACTTAACTATAACATATATAAAATTTAAATACTCATAGATTTGTAAATAAGTAATACAATATTGTATACTTTTATGGGCTAAATTAGGTTCGAGGATTGTAATTGGCTACTCCAGATTTAAAATAAATCATTCAGTTTAAAACGATTGATTATTTAAAAATGGATTGTTCAAGATTAGAATCATTGAACTAATGTATATAATATATAAACAATGACAGTATAAAACCAAAATTAATACAGGATCTTTATAGGAATTAAAAAAAAAAAAAAAAAATTAGGCCTTACACAGAGAAATAAATTCTATACAATTTTGAACATTTACTTACCATAAGATGATCGAATAAGATCAGCAACCAAATGAAGATCATTATTAGAAGTAATTACAATATACGTGTTAGGTTCAAGTTCTTGAATGGCTCTTAATGATCTTCTTTGTTTTTCGACTATACCACCAGCTGATTCTATAATTTGTCGAATAACAAACACTGATGGACGAGTAACTCCCGGCGTAACAAAAAATATTTTTCCTTTGAACAACTCGTGACGATTTGGATTAGATAATACTTTATGTACTTTACATATGACTTTTTGATCCAAAGAAATTTCTTCAATAGTGTAAATGGCTTCACCTAAATTAAATTTAAAATGTATTATAAACAGAAATATACTATAGTTTCATTAAATACCTAAAAACATATGTTGTGTAGAAGAATCCTTCAGCCAGTCAGCTGTGACAATATGCTTAACAGTTGAAACACAACATAAGAATTTAGTGGTCCTAACTGGTTCTTTCATAACTAAATGAGTAGCATCTGAATAGTTTTTAGCAATAGTACCACCAAGTTGTAAGACCATCTAAAAATAAAAAATAAAACCATATATTATACTCTTAATATCAAAAAATTATAACATACTCGTTGTTCTTCTTTTCCTAAGCCAAATCTAGAGAGCATAACACATGGTCGATATTCTATAGGTGGCGGATTAATATTTGTAATGATAATATCTGCAGTACTCAAATCATTATTTTCTTGGTCTATTAAATCTTGCAGACTAGGTTTAGGTCGTTTTCTTTTAATAGGAACAGGATTATTGCGTACTCTGTCATATAATTCTTGGGTAATGTTAATTGGCATTTTCCATGCTCCTAAGAATACAACAATGTTAATTATAGAATTTGATTAATAAATATAATTAACTAAAATCACAAGAAATTCTAATTCTATAGTTGTCAAATAATTATGTCCAATTACTAAAATAAATCATAATTCTTACCCATTAAGTGAAGTACTAAACTATAGTCAACTCTGAATGGATTATTAAGATTGAATTGTTGATACTTAGTATTTTCTGGTTGATACATACATGATAAATGGCCAAAAAGAATTTCGTTTAACCATTGAACATTGACAATAGGTCGATTAGTATCTCTAGCTTTTTTAACTTTTTTACCTTCCAATCTAAAATTAAGATATTTTAAATATTGCAAGCTATTAATAATTTATTTATGTAACTTACTTTTTAGTAACTAAAATATTGTTTTCAGCAGAAAAATAAGATGTAACTCGAGCACCTGTTAATTCTACCATGAATTTAACCCGATTACGTTCTTCGCCTTCAAAATTTGTAAGCGATATTAACATTTGACGACAAGGTCTCTCCTCACTGTATGGAGTAGGAAAATGAAGAGCATACCAAGGAGGCATAAGTTGTTGTTTGGTTATAATATCACTAAGCCAATAGGCTGTAATGCATCTTTTGCCATCACGCAAACCCTAATAAGATATTAGACTTAAATAAATAAATAATTCTATGTTTTTAGTTTTTAGTTACCTGTTGTACAAGTGGATGTTTTTGTGTTTGACAAAGTATGTGTGTAAGACGTAAGGTGTATGATGGTTCAATTTCTCCACCATGATCCAGGATAATTCTTTTCCAAGTTGGTACATCATTGTTGGTATCTGGGCTTCGATCGTATTCAACAATCAAAAATATACAACCAAGTAAACATTTCTCAGGTGGCACTAAAATAATAGTTTATTTATTAAAATATTTTTTATAAACAATAATAAATTAAACAAACATTTAAGATTTGGATTATGTCCAAAAAATCTAGCTTGATGAGGAAGTTGTTGATGACCAACAGTTTGTCCAGCAGCACTTTTTGCTAAAACTGCTGCTACTCTTACAGCAGCTGATTGGTTGTAATTAGCTGGCAATGATTTATTAGGAACTGCAGCTTGAGCATTTGCACGGCCTACTACTTGAGCAGCCCGATTTGATGCTGCACTGTTAGTAACATTATTTAGAACTGTTCTAGACTGTAGATACATATATCAGTCATTTTTCTATATATATAAAAGATAGTATATATTTATAATATGAGTATATACTTGGTATGTTCCTTGGGTAGTGCTTTGTTGTTGATTTTGATGTTGTGCAGCATGATGTTGAGCAGTCATCAATCTTAATTGTCCTGCAGCACTAATTTCTTGTCCAGACATTTGCTAAAAATCAAACATTAAGACAAAAAAATTAATGATAGATTTGAGATAGCTTTTTTTTTTAAATCTGTATTGATTCAAAATCTATACATTTTGTATGAAAAAATATTTTTAACAATGAACGCCTATATATTTGTTACATTACATATTAGCTTGTTATTGAACACTGGTATTATTGTTTTAGTTATTCAATTATGGAAGCATGCTGTAATAAAAAGCATTGATTAAATATTTAATAGGTGATTTCCATTTTTTAAACTATGGTTAAATTATTCTAACATAAATACATAATATTTAGAATACAATTAATAATTTATATAATATGATACATTTATGAAAGATAATATTTTAAAAATGATTAATTAATTTAAAAAGATGTTATATATATATATATGTATATATATATTATTGTTGATATAATTAATATAATAATATAATTGTTAAACTTAATGATAAGCAATATCAAAATTATATAATCTACAATAAGTTAAAACTAGTTATTTAAGTTTTTATTAATAAGCCATAGATTAGTAGTATGTTTAATTTGGTTTGGATACATGAGTTTTTAGTTATAAATCAATAAAAACAGCCAACATTCTCATACTAAATAGATGACCTTATAGGATATGTAAATGAAAAATAATTAAACATAGAAGTATTGAGATTTCATTATATGCTAAAATTTTCTTATATTCTATAAGATGTTTATTATAATGACCATGCATTAGGATAATATATTAGCTCAGTATTAGAAGTCAACTCAATAAAGTTATGCACATAGTGCCATGTCTAAGAAGACCAAATTCAAAACAGCGTGGATCCATCATGTGTTTACTTTTTACCTGTTGCTGAGTTGATGTGGATGATGATATGCCATTTTGTAAACGTATATTTAACATATTAGCAAGCGCAGTTTTGGTCTTAGGATTTACAACCAACGCTTGTTGATTTGATTGAGATGTTTGCTAGAAAAATATGGTTTTTGAAGCAATCAAATAGCAACAATATTCCTTAATTCAAAATTAAATCTGATTTATGCATTAATTAAAATTAATATAAGTTAAAGAAACTTTAATAAATTAATAATTTAATTTTTTCAAAAATAAAAACTTTAAAAACACAAAAATTAAGTGATTTAATTCAACAGTTGGCTGTTAGTAAAAATGTAGATGTAATTTGAGCAAAAATATGTTAAAAATTATCACTACATATTTTATAATTTTATTTCACATTTATGTAGGATTTAAAAATTAATTACAAAATAATATTTAATACATGTTTGAGTAGTGTGTAGAAAGAATATGGAACTGTTTATTCTGTGACAATAAAACATAAATGATAATTTTTCTTCTTCTCATTCGCCTTTTTCCCAACTATTTGGGGTTGGCCACCTTAGTCCTAAATTTCCACTTGTCTCAATTTTCTATATCCCCTACATACACACACACGCCAATCAATTATATTCAACCATCTCTTTTTTGATCTTCTTCTTCCTCTTTTCCCTTCAAAATTAATTTTCTTAACAACTCTTACTACATTTGTTTTCTATTGTCTCATCATATACTACAACTCAGTTTATTTTCTCTAATTTTATTCACCATAGACCCTACACCAATACTACTTCTCACATATTTATTCCTTATTCTATCTTCTTTTGTTACTTTACTCATCCATCTAAACATTCTAGTTTCCGTAACACTCATAGTCTGTTCTATTCTCCTGTCAATCATCCAACACTCTGAACCATATAGGATAGTTGGTCTCACTACACTCCTGTAAAACACCTGACATTTCTTTCCATTTTATCCAACTACACTTAATCCTATGTTTAACATCCATGCCTAAATCCTATCATCTTGTATAAACGAACCTAAATATTTAAAGTTTTTGATTTCACCTATCATATCACCACTTATTGTCATTGGTCTCTTCATACCCTCAACTTATTTGTATCTTCCTTCAAAGTACTCTATAAATACTCTTTATACTGTATTTTATTTCTACTAATACTGAATCCCTATGCTAACATCCACTAATCTAACTTATTATTAACTTCTGTCAGATTTTCTCCAACCAAAACCAATCATCAGCAAACATCATATACTATGGTATCTAACCATAATAAGTCTTTTATTTTTGCAACTTTTACTTCCTTCTCACTAACTAAACCAATCAATCCTTCATTCTATGAAATACTATCTAAAGCTTCTTTTAGATATTTCTCGTTCAGTAATTTCTCAAAAAATATTCTTTCCATCTCCTTTTCAGATCTCCATAATTTGTTAACACTTTCTAAATTCTCAATTCCTTTCCGATTTTCCTTATTATATTTACCTTTTTTCCACTACAACATTCCTCCATTATCATCAAACTATGTTGTGTTATTACACTTTCTTGAGGAATTACTTTACAATATTTTACTCTTTTTATAGGGTCTCTTTTCCACATAAAATAATTAATGACCTATTTTTTCCACTCTTATATGCTATACAATGCTCTTTTTATTTCCTAAAATTTGAAATGATTATTACAAGCTCATATGATGATGCAATATCCAATACTTTTTCTCCTGCCTCATTCATCTCACCAAATCTATACCCTCCATGCACTCTTTCATACTCTACTCTCACATTACCTATATATACATTTACACCACCACCTATCACAATATCTTTATTTTCTGGTATTCCTTGCATCATCTTATCCATCTCTCACTAAAACTCTTTCTTTTCCTTTTCTTCACATCCTATTCATGGCGCATACACACTTATTACGTTCAATAGTTTTTCCTCAAATACCAATTTCACCATAATAATTTTATAACTTTTTATTTTTACATTGACTACCTTATTTTTCATTTTTTCATCCAATATTACTCTAACCCCATTCTTAGTACTAGTCCTACCTGAATATATTATTTTATAGCTTTACCCTATTTCTTATGCTTTCTCTTCTTTCCACTTAGTTTCCTGAACACAACAAATATTAACTTTCCTCCTCTCCAATACTTCCGCTAATTCTCTACCTTAGACTGCTAACGTGTTAACATTTCATTTACTAATTCTCAATTTAAATCCATCTCTCATATCTTGCAATGGTGATGTCCCTACACCGTTGATATTACCCGTGTTGGGTAGACTTGAACACATAACTGGTGAACCAGCTACCACACTGGCTGTCTGGCTGGTATCACACAACTCATCATCTAGGCATCCTCTACCTCTAACTATGATACATCCTTTCGCTTACTGTCTCAGCTTACACCTGAGATGTAAGCTGTATTCACCTAAATTTTGTTTCAGACTCTTCATACTCTTTGACAAAATTTTTACACCAACTGTCAACCTAATGCAACCTTATTTAGTCATATTTAATAACCAGCTGAAAAACTATAGAAGTATTCTTATCTCTTTCCACTAGGGGAAAACATAAGTAATACAAATATTCTTATTTTTAATTTAAATACAATAATATATAATGTTTAGAATTTGGCAGTTCAGACCACAATTAACGTTGTTAATTACAATAATAATTATTATTATTGACAGCTAAAATTATTAAAATGTTAAAATAAATTAAACAAAATATAAATAGGTTTATACAAAAAAAATTATTTGAACATTGATATTAAACATTTACATAGACTTTATATTTACATTAGATTTATAGGATCATGCAGACTAAAGTTCTATACTAAATCTAATAACTTTAATTTCAAGTAATATTACATTTTAAAAACAACAAATATAATATGTATATCATTTAATAATTTGAAAATTTAAAATAATGACATGTTGAAAAAAAAACCACTACTTTTTAAGGTAAATAAAAATTTTCTATTTCTTACCTTTTAATGCATAAATTAATAAAAATTTAAAGCAAACACGATAATGTTTCATAAATGAGCAGGGATTTTTTTCAAACACTATTTCTCAGTAGATTATGAAAGTTATCAATTAATTTTTACATATTACGTTTGACTAAAAAATTCTTTACAATCCTATGCACTTAAAAATTGCAGAGACATATTTATTAAATCTATACTTTAACAAACTATTGTCATAAAATGTCTTTAAATCAGTGACAAAAAAGCATTTGTCTTATTTTATATCATATTATTACATAATAATAGTAATAATATAATATTCAAACAGTTATAACTAGGGCTGGGATTTTAATGTCCTTAAAAATCGCAAAAAATGACCTTAAAATAATGCAAAAATGACTTAAAAAACTCATAAAATGCTTTATAAAATGTCTTTAAAATTTATTTAAAATAGATTAAAATTTAAAAAAATTATATTACATGTACATAAATATTTTATTTTACTTTATATATTAATAAATAAAAAATTATTCTTTATTGTTACACTGAATAACGAGAGCGTTCAAGTTTTCAAATAGCAATACCCTCGGGCTATAAGTTTTTGTTGATAGAAAAGTTTCTTTCTTTATTTATTGAAATTATAGGTGAGTATTTAAAGTACGTAAAATCACTCGCTGTAAGATCATCTGGAAATTAATTTTGTGCACTTTCTTGTCCATTTGAAATATTTTCCAAAAATGAACGTAACTTAAAATTATCGAGCTTACTTAACGGAATTTTACATGAAAGAAAGGCACGAATTGAATCTAAAAAGTATTCTGACCTATTTGTGTGACCTGATATACTGGCAATAAAACTTTGTGACATATTTTTTTTTCTTCAATTTGTTCTCTTTGTTGTACTCCATTTATATGTTTGTCTCTTGATACATGTTATTGTATGGTAAAACATTTTTCAGCAGCAACTTTTTCATTGCATATCTTACATAACAACGCTAATCCGCCGGTAGAAAAAATCTATAATCTATAACCTTTAATTTTAAATTCAAAAACACCAAAAATGACTTAAAAACCCTTAAAATGCCATAAAAAATTAGAAAAATTACCTTAAAATCAAAAATTGTCAAAAAATGCAAAATAAAATTTCTTATTCTTATTTAAAAATACCTAAAACATATTTGTAACAAAACGAGCATCGTACAGATAGTTTCAGAAAAAAAATGCAAAACGCATCAAAATCCCAGCTTTAGTTATAACAAATTTACATAAAGTTAAAGTATAATATATATATACAGAGCATATTTTTATTAAATTAATTTCCTCAAAATCAATAGAAGAATCCGATTTTCACATCCACTTATCATCTTTTGTTGTTTGTTTACTTTACACTAAAGATACTGATCAATATTTAAACAATAAAGATTTAAATAATGTATACAATTTATAATTTGATAGAATTGATCAATATAGAAAACCAGAACCAGAATTTTATAAGAACACCAAAATAATGTCCAACACCATAAAGCATTTGTCCCAAACATACACATTTTATCAAAGTAAATAAAATACAAAATTCCTGATAAACTTACTGCAAAAGATTCTTGACTTGGTGTCTGTGTTTCATTTTGCTCATTTGTAGATAATGCAGGTGTCTGTTGAGACTGAACAATAGAAGTTTGAGCTGAAGCTACTTGTGGTGATTGTACAACATTTACATTTGGTTGCATTACTCCAGCAATTGATTGATTGGGAACAACCTTTAATTAAAGCATAACTTAAAATTTTTTTTTTTATTTTTAATCATTTATTACTGGATAAATCTTACTTGTTGCTGCATTGATTGTTGTTTTTGTGTGGAATCCATTTGAAGCTGTTGTAGCCTCAATTGTTGTATCTGTTGTTGTCTTTGATGCAATTGTGCCAATTGAGCAGCAGACATGGACCCTGTAGTCTGTTGATGTCCTGAAATATTATTTTATCATAATTCAAATGTATATTACTTTAATTTCATAATGAAGGTAATACAGAATATATGGAGGATTTATTGATAATGGAAAGATATATGAGAGCTACACATAAATGCAACAGCATAACACTTGATGTGATTTGATAAAAAATTTAAAATAAACACTATTCAATAGCTATACTTAAATTAATTTAATTATAATAAAAATATAATACCATTAAGGGTTCAAAATAATGATATTAAATTATATTCTTTTATTATATTATTTAGAAGTTTCAACCATATACAACATTTTAAGAATTTAATTTTTGTTAACTAACTTATTACAGATAAATATACACTTTGATTAAGAAAACCTTTCATTTTATAATCAAACAGTTTGAAAAGTTAGATTATAATTTATAATACAAAATGGCTAGTACTAGGTTTGTACAAGAGATGTTATTTCAATGAAGTGTTAGCTAAATTTAATGCATATAGATTTAAGATTTTTTTCCCACATTTTTACAGATAATTCCGATAAAAATAAAACACATCTTATATAATTTACTCTAATACAATATACACTGCTTATAATGAGGGCTCGGAAGTTCTAGCAAATGCATATTATTCTTGGTTCATCCTAAAACCTCCAAAATAAGAAACAAATATGTTTCACACTATTCGGATATCATACACAAAACTTAATTTTGCTATTTTTGCATATTTACGAGTTTCATTACTATTTTGATAATTTATGGTTTATAGTGTTATTTTTGGGTATATTTTCACATAATATAGGAAATAATCACATTTTGTTGATAATAATGGTATTTACTTGGTTATATTTTTAATAATATTTGAATTCTTGGAAATAAATAGAACTCATCAAATATTATTTTGTTTTTATCGACAAATTGATAAATGAGTAGGGTTGCCAACCGTCCAATTTTCACCTGGACAGTTCAGATTTTCTGGATCCTGTCCAGTGTACAGTTATACCTTTCAACTGGACGTTATAAACTAATAAATTTCCAGGTTTTTCCTAAGTCTTTCAATGTAAATGCGATAGCGACAAGTAGGTATTAACTTTTAGTTAATATAAATGTACAAGTATATACCATCTATACATATATCAATAATAATTATCAATAATATTCAATAATAATTTATTAAAAATAGCAGAATATATTTTTGCTGTTCCGCCAACAAATGCATTTGTGAAACATACATATTTTTTTGGTAATGAAAAACTTATTGACTGATGAGAGGAATCGACTCAGTGTAGAAGTTATGACAAATTTTAACTATAGTTTGTCGTATCAAGAATTTTGTGAATTTTTGGAAACAGAAATTGTTATGTGCTAAACGTTTTCGTAAATCAAAAAACAAACCTTTATACCATAAAATCGCTGGTAGTTAAAAAACACATTATATATTATACATGTTTTTATTCGCTAAATTATATACAAATATATAAGTATATATAAAATTATTTTAGGACTAAGACTTTATATAGTTAACGCACTAAATCACCGTATTTTTGACATACACGAAAAATGTTCCGCATACTTTTGTAAAAAATCTGGTATTCCAAAACATATTCTTTTACAAGAGATTTCCAAATTAAAACCAATTAATCAGGAAATTGATACGATTGCATCTAGATTGTCGAATAATCCAGAAAGTTTGATAACGGATGTAACAACAATGCTTGTGAGTGATTGAATGGTGTAATAAACAAATTTTTAGATGGCAAAAGAATAAACTTTACACAAAAACTCTGTACTTTATACTTTAGGTATGACGTCCTCTTAAAAGCTAAAAAAGTAAAATTTTTAGTGTTATAAATTCCGAGCCCTGCTTATAATAAATTACCCAGATAACCTTGTAATGTCTTAAGATGATATTAATAACAATAACCTAATCGACTATCTTTTAAATTATTATTCAATCTGATTATGCTTATTATATGTATAACATATAATATATATTCATATACTTTTAATTATTTGTACTGGTTATAAAAGGGAGTTTTATAAATTTGGATGCTTGACACATATTCTCATTAATAAATAACTAGTTATGATGGTTTAAATATTAAAGGACCAATCTAAGTGGTAATCAATTATTTCTCTAAATTTTTGATATTATAATTTACTTAATTATTTGAAATAAAATAATCCAATGATTTTAAAGTTAAAATATTTTGATAATGATATCAAAAGAATAAATGGTATTAAAATATTACACTGTGAATAACAAATATCTAATTCATTTTACTTTGGTAAATTTTGATATTTAAAATTTCTAAACTATACAATTTGATATTGTATATCCAATCAATCCTATAACCAATCCTGGTGCAGAAATAGATAGCGACCATAATCTGGTAACGATGAAGTACAAAATAGCACCCATGAAAATTACAAAGCGACCCAAACATAACATATGGAACGTAGAAGAACTCAAAAATGAAAAAACCAGACAAGAGTTCCAAAACAAAGTTTATAACAGACTGATAGCTGCTGGTATTGATCCCTCATGGGATGAAGTAATTAGCAATATTCGACAATCTGCTGTGGAATCAATTGGATTTAGGAAATTGAATCCAAGGAAACCATGGATCACAAATGAGATAATGGATTTAATAAAATACCGCAATAAATTAAAGAAGACTGATGATGCAATGTATAGAATAGTAAAAAACCGTATCACCCAGAAGTGCAGAGATGAAAAGGAGAAATGGATGGATTTAACATGCGAAAATATTAAAATAAATACGACAGCAAATAGAATGGACAAAGCATATGGAATTATTAAAAAATTATCAAGACTACTGAAGCCAAGAAGCAAAATTGTTAAAGACAGGAATGGGAAATTGATTCTAGAAGAGGGTGAAATAACAACAAGATGTAAGGAGTACATAGAGGATCTGTATAAAGGATTGAAAGGTGAAGATGACATGAATATTGAAAATATAACTGAATCAAACAAAGAGGACGTAGGGCCAATTATAACAAAAGATGAATTTGTTAAGGCTCTAAGAGAATTAAAACAAGGAAAAGCGGCAGGAGTAGATAACATCCCAGCAGAATTATTAAAAAATGTCGGAAAGAATACCGAACATAAGCTATATGAAATGACTGAGAAAATGTATAGGGATGGCAACATTCCGAAGGACTTTGCCAAAAGCAAAATTGTACTAATCCCAAAAAAAGGAAATTCCACAGAATGCAACAATTACAGAACAATAAGTTTATTAACACATGCGTCAAAAATACTTCTTATCATAATAAAAAATAGAATTCAAATGAAGATCGAAAAAGAGCTCGATAAAGATCAATTTGGGTTCAGACAGGGAATTGGTATAAGAGAAGAAATTTTAGCTATAAGGGTACTTACGGAAAGAAGGCTAAATGTAAATAGAAATACATTTATAACTTTCATTGACTTAGAGAAAGCCTTTGACACTGTCAACTGGGCACTATTGATGAACTCTATGATGAAAACACGAATAGACTGGAGGGAGAGACGAATAATAATGTTACTATACAAAGAACAGGAGACCTTAATAGAGGTATGAGAACATAGTACTACAGCAAAAATTAAAAGAGGGGTAAGACAAGGCTGTTCCTTATCTCCCTACTTATTCAATATATTTGTGGAAGAAATCATGGACAAGTATAAAAGAAAATCTAATGGAATAAGCATAAATGGAGAAAAGATCCGCTGCATACGATTTGCTGACGATATTGCTTTAGTATCTGAATCAGAAAAAGACATGCAAAAATCTTTAACCACCCTGACAAAAATACTACAGGAATGAACTACCAAATGAAAATTAATGCGAAAAAAACAAAAACAATGGTGGTGACTAAAGCAAAAGAAATCCCAGTAGTGAAAGTGGAAGTGAATAATCACTTAATAGAACAAGTCCAACAATTTAAGTATCTAGGAAGTACGATTACAAGCGATGGTAAATGCTCAATAGAAATCAGACAAAGAATAGCAATGCAAAGAGAGCATTTACACAAAAACGGCAGTTACTTACAAATAAAAAACTAAACATAAATATGAGGAAAAACTTTGTCAAATGTTATGTGTGGAGTGTACTATTGTACGGTTGTGAAACATGGACTATTAATGGACAAGACAAAAAGAAGTTAGAAGCCATAGAAATGTGGATATGGAGAAGACTGTTAAAAATCAGCTGGACAGAAAGGAAAAGTAACGTAGATGTATTAGACCAAGTAGGAGAAAAAAGAATCTTATTAAACACCATAAAAGAAAGAAGTGGAAAAATGTTCGGTCATCTACTTAGGCATAATTTGTTTATGACAAACATATTTGAGGGACGAATAAACGGTTATAAAGGAAGAGGCAGACCGAGGAAAGCATACATAGAAGAAATGATAAAACAAGCTGGTTGTAGTCGATATACAGAAATGAAAAGATTGGCTTCTAATAGAGAAGAATGGAAAGCCAGATTTGCAACGACAAGGCAAGGCCTTTAGTAAAGAAGAGAGATCCAATTTGAATAAAATTATTATATTTAGTCAGATGGGATAAGTGAATAAATGAATCTCCAATAAATTAAGAGAAAGATTAGAATTTAATTTTAATCAACTAAAAAATAAATTACTAATTTAGTTACTAACCTTGTTCAGTAACAGTTGACTGTTGCCAAACTGTAGTTTGTGGTTGAGATACTTGTTGATTATTTACTAAAGCATTGGTTACAGATTTTACATTTGTTTGTAAGCCAGTAGTAACTGTTCCACCAGCCATTTGTTGTTGTTGTGCTAACAACTGAAAAAATATTTATTATAATTAGTTTAAAGATTTTATATAAAATAATTTATAATTTTGTTTTCGTTGCATATCTAATTTACTTGTTGTTGACGTAATTGGCTCCATTGTGCTTGCTGTGCTTGTGTCATCCCAGAAGCAGATATTAGTTGATGATTTAGAGTCCGAATCACAGTAGTTTGGCTATTAGGTGTTGATGGCCTAACAATATTTGTTCCTCCAACTATACCTGCAGCTTGTTGTTGGCGAGCCTAAAAACAAATTATTAATTTTTTTTAGAATACTATTGTTTAAAATAATAATAATATTACATTAAACTGTTGCAAGACAAGGTTCCTTTGTTTTGTCAATTTATTAATAAATGCCAACCGTTCAGCAGGATTCATGGCTTGAATTTGTTGGTGAGTTTTAGCATCCATATGTATCATTTGTTGTGGCCCATGCTAAAAACAATTATTTTTATTATATATAAACTAAATCAATAAAATGAGATGATAAAAAATAAAAGTATTAATTTACCGAAGATTGTTGGGACCATATTACTTGTCTATGATCTATTGGTTGTTGGATAGTTCTTTGAATGGTTAAAGTTTGTTGTTGAGGCCACTGAGTTTGTGTTGTAGGCTGTGTATTTGCAGTATTCATATTGACTGCTGGTTGTTGTCCAATAACTAAAGTTTGTTGCTGTGGAATTTGTTGAGGCTGCTGTTGGCTAACTTGGACACGTGGCTAAAATATTAAAATGAAATAAATGTATGTATAAGCTATCAATTAATAATAATTTGATTAAATTGAGGAAATATTTAAAAAGTTATACCATATTAGAAGATGAATGAGCCATTCGCCATTGAGTAGAAACAGTTCCGCCACCTTGTTGTACAATTCGCTGTTGAAACATTAATCTCTGTTGTTGTTGTTGAATTAAGAGTTGTTGTTGCTGATTTGATGGATTAGCTTGAGTTTGTGGAAGTTGTTGACCATTTGATACTATGCAAATCTGAGAAGACTGTGAAGATTGAACATTCTGTATTTGGGGCTGTTGTTGTTGTATGTGTAATTGGGAATTTGGAGTAACTTGTTGTGGAAATTGGATTTGCTGACCATTGCTTGTTTGAAATTGTATCTGTTGTCCTTGTTGCACTTGGTTTGGATGTGATTGGTTTTGTTGTAATTGAACATTTTGTTTTTGTAACTGGGATAGCTGACCCTGGTGTTGTTGACCTTGTTGAAGTTGAACAGTTTGTTGTTGTAACTGAGGCATTTGAACTTGTTGCTGTTGTTGACCCTGTTGAATAGGAACGGTTTGTTGTTGTATCTGAGGCAATTGACCCTGTTGGATTTGTACAGTTTGTTGCTGTAATTGTGGTACTTGGGTAGGCTGTTGGTTGGATTGAAGTTGTTGAACATTTTGTTGTTGTGGTTGACTTTGTTGAAGTTGAACATTTTGTTGTTGATTTTGGAGTTGTTGTCCGGATTGCAAATGTTGTACTTTTTGTTGCATTTGTATGTGTTGTTGGTTTTGCTGAAGAGTTTGTTGCTGCTGACCTTTTTGCATCATTTGAAGATGAGTTTGTTGACCCTGTTGTAATTGCATATGATTTTGCTGCATTTGTTGATTAGATTGAAATTGTAATTGTTGTCCATGTTGTATCTGAATTTGTTTTGATTGTTGCATTTGTTGAGTTCGTATTTGTTGTTGAAATTGATTTTGTTGTTGAGGTACATGCATTTGTTGTTGGGATAAAAGTTGATTGTTAGCATGTGTTTGCTGTTGTAGCTGCAATTGTTGAACTTGCTGTTGTGAAAGTCGCTGGAGTTGTGGAGTAGACATTAATGACATAATTTGTTTTGGTTGAGTATTATTTGATTGGACTGTAACTTGAGGTACTTGAGCAGATGATGTCTATATTAAATAATTATATTATTAAAATTAATATAATACATGTTAATTATTTGAATCAATTACTTGAATAGGCTGAGATGTTAATGGCGTAGAAGGTTGATTCCATGGTAAACGTTGTTTTAACTGTTCTAAACCTTGATTTTTAGGAACAACAGTTCCAGATTGTTCAACAGGAGCATCAAAATCAGCAAACCCAGTTATGGTAGACAAGCCGCTAGTTTGTAATTCTGAATGCACAAATATTAAAAATATTATAGTTACATTTTCTTAAATAACATATTATATAAAAAAAACATACTAAATGATTGATTTGATGGTGGTAACTTGGGTAAGACAAGAAGTCGAGGGTGATAATTAGTTTCAGAACATAATTCTTTATTTTTTAAACAATCAATAACCCAATCAGGAGTTACAATTTTGATCTTATCTGAACAATTTGATATTACAGCATCATATTTTTTCTATGAAAAAAAATTTTTTTTTATAGTTTTTAATTTAGTTAGATAAACATTTTTGCATAAAAATTTACAAAATATAGTGACATAATTTAAAAAATTTAATCTAGAAATTAATACTAAAATTAAAAGTAAAAACTATACATATTTTTTAGTACATGAAATAAATTAATACTTAATTTTTTGAATTATGCCATTATTTTTATGCTTATATAATATGATATGATTTATGATAGCTTACCCCAGATGGTTTGGTAACAATGAGATGAGTGGTTTTATTAAGGTCTAATGTTAATCTAAATATACCGCCATTATAGGTAACTAAAGCCCATAAAGTTTTACAATCATTTGCAGTTAACTTAGAAACACATACAACTATTCCACTGAATAAATTATTTTCAAATGGATCAAATGGTTTTGTTCTAAAACAAAATATTAAGGAAACATACAATAGAAACATCAATAATCTATTTATAACTTTTAATTTTAATTCAATATTTTAAGTATATAATTGTCAATATTCAAGTCCTAAATTTATTCAACTAATATATATTTTTTTTATAGAGTATTTCTATTTAATTTTTGAATAAATGGAAAATTAATTTAAAACATACTATTTATAAATATAGGTATGCATTAAAAGGATACGGTAATAGTTTATTACACAATACAGATGTGCGGATCCATTCAGGAGTTACAGTAGTAACATCATATAATTCTCTAGCAGCACTAACATCTGCTTCTATATAATTTCTTCCAACAATACAATGTGTTACTGAATCAGATAACAGACATGTTGATTCAGCATTACTGTTTTTCAGTGCTGATAATGCCTATGAATTGTTGCATAATAGAATAATTAATAGCTCAACAAAAAAAACATGTATAAAACTTACTTCATCTCCAATGGAGCCACTAGCAAAATACACTATGTTTTCAAATAATCGGTGTTTACTGTCACTATCAAGTGACATGGAAGAGCTTTGAACTTCTGTAGTTTTATTAGACGAATCCATCTCGACCAATAATTTTTTTGCAAATATTAACTGGGTGGTTTCATAGTCTGTTTACTATCTATTCTCTAAGAATACAACAAAAACATTGTAAAAGTAAAAATAAATAATTATAAAAGTAAGTAAATTACAATAAACCAGGTTTTTGATTTATAAACATTGAATATAAATAAAAATAATAAAGCAATACTTCTTTTTCACAACACAATATTATTAAACATAAAAGATTCAAAAATTATTTGACTGGACAGTAATGTTTTAACTCTTTTTCTTTAAAAAAAAAAAAATACTAACAACCATAATCAGTAGATACGTACAATGCAGCCAATACTTAAGATAATATAAAGACATTTATATTGTTCTATGATATAGAGCAGGGATTCCCAACCTTTTTTACTTAACGGCACACGATCATTTTAAAAATTTCCACAGCATACTTAAATAAATAATAATGAATATTCATAATGTCATAATTATATATAATGTATTATAATATAATTATATTAACATAACATATATAATATAAATTTAATTTGACATTTGAGACTGGTGTTTTATACATAATTCCTCTATTACAGGTGAAACAGTTGAAACGATACAAACTGTTAAAGGATAATCAATGTCACCATTCCACGTAAATCCAAAACATAAATAATTATCAACATATTTACGTTTAATTTTTAATTTAAACTTTTATCACTTATTAAAGCTGGTTGTTTAATATTAATTTCAATATTTAAATTGTTGTCATTTGCTCTAACATCACTGTCATCTGTTAATTTATGCTTTTTTAAAAATCTATCCATTTTTAAATTTAACTTATAATATTTCTTGATCAAAATACCTATACAGTGTAATGCGTAACAATTAAACGCACTCAATTTTCATTATAATAAGCACGGGCTATGTTATCATGTAGTCATTTTAGTATGTGGTAAAAGTCAACGCAACTGCTAATCTATATTATAGAGCGAGCGCCTGCGATTCACTCGCCATTTTCTTTTCAAATCGGGCCACACCGTCGTTTCGGACTCCACGCTTATCACTCAATAGTCATTATCGCGTTGACGTCGGTCCGACTGGCAAATAATGCCTAATCTATTGGTAAAGTTTCTTTTTTTTCCCCTCTCAATATTATGATATAGTACTTCGTCCACTTCGTTAAGTGTTAATTAGTTCGGGCGTTTGACATTAGATTGACGGCTAAACGTGTCGGTCGATAAGCCTGTGATACTAACAGTTGGTGTTACTCGGCGATCTAATTTACGTTCGTTGTGTTTAGTCTCAACGGAATCTGAGCAAAGGTCTGATGAAGTAAGTAGATCGGTAACGTGTTTGCGTGCGGGAAACAGACTTTTACAGCGTTCGCGGCACTAAAAATGTCAGCTTCGGCGATATACATACTAGATGTCAAGGGCAAGGTCCTGATATCCCGAAACTATCGGGGTGACATAGCACCTAATGTCATCGAGAAGTTCATGCCCTTGCTAATGGAGAAAGAAGAAGAAGGTTCACTAACACCGCTGTTGCAGACTGAGGAGTGCACTTTCTCGTACATCAAGTGCAACAACCTGTACGTTGTATCTACTACCAAAAAGAACGCCAATATCATGTTGGTATTTGTGTTCCTTCACAAAATTGTACGAGTCATGAATGAATACTTCAAGGAGATAGAAGAAGAAAGTATACGTGACAATTTTGTGGTAATATATGAGCTGTTGGACGAGCTGCTTGACTTTGGGTATCCGCAGACAACAGATAGCAAAATTCTGCAAGAATACATTACACAAGATGGTCATAAACTAGAAATACAACCAAGAATTCCTATGGCTGTGACTAATGCTGTGTCTTGGCGTTCCGAAGGGCTCAAGTATAGAAAAAATGAAGTATTCTTAGATGTTATTGAATCGGTAAATTTGTTGGCTAGTGCCAATGGAAATGTTTTAAGAAGTGAAATTGTAGGCTCGATCAAGATGAGAGTCTACTTGTCTGGAATGCCAGAATTACGATTGGGTCTCAATGATAAGGTATTGTTTGAGAGCACTGGGCGTGGTAAATCTAAATCTGTAGAACTTGAAGATGTTAAGTTTCATCAGTGTGTACGCCTATCAAGATTTGAAAATGATAGAACTATTTCTTTTATTCCACCAGATGGAGAATTTGATTTGATGACGTACAGGTAATGTTTATCTTCAAATACTTCAATTGCTCTGTTTAAACTCATTGGTATTTAATGCTTTTTTAATTTTTACAGATTAAGTACACATATCAAACCTTTGATTTGGATTGAAAGTGTCATTGAACGGCATGCTCATAGTCGTGTTGAGTACATAGTCAAAGCAAAGTCACAATTTAAGCGTCGGTCTACTGCCAATAATGTAGAAGTAGTCATCCAAGTTCCAATGGATGCTGATTCTCCTAAATTTAAAACTACTGTTGGTTCAGTTAAGTATATGCCAGAGCTAAACTCTTTAGTATGGTCCATTAAATCTTTCCCTGGAGGTAAGGAGTATTTAATGAGAGCACATTTTGGTTTGCCAAGTGTCGAAAATGAAGAAACTGAAGGACGGCCTCCCATCCATGTAAAATTTGAAATACCGTATTTTACAACATCTGGCATTCAGGTTAGGTACTTGAAAATTATTGAAAAGAGCGGTTATCAAGCATTACCTTGGGTACGATATATTACCCAAAATGGAGACTATCAGTTAAGAACCAACTAAATTCTTTTGAGTAATTTATAGTCAAATGTATTATTTATTGTCTTCTAATTTTTAATTTAAAGGCAATAAATTACATTTTTAACTAGCTTACAAAATCTTAAATTATTTTTATTTATTTATTTTTTTTGTGTTATTTGAATAAAAAAATTCATTTATCCGTCCTGTGCATTGTATATTTAATTTAGTTCAATATTTTATTATCAAAATTGAATGACAAATGACTGGTATTAATTATTTTATAAACAATATCCTATATTCTAATAATTTTGTATATATTTTATGAAACTAATCATACAATTTTCAATTATTACCAACCTTCTTTAAGTCATTTTAAATACCAATATTTTACACAATAATTTTTATCATTATTATTATTATTACTTATTGTTAAGAATATTATTATACATTCAAATTAAATTATATGATTATCATTGTGAAATTGTTTTTGTCAAGAATTTATGTTATTTTTTTGTAACTGGTGATAAAAAAAAGAGATTGCCTAAAGCTTAAATTATTATATATACTATATGCAGTGTTGCTATTATATTAGTTCTGAAGTTTATTTATTATAGTCAATTTTAATTTCCCTTGTTTTTAATTCTTTATTTCTAATCATATTATACATGACTCATTTGCATACTCATAAAATACATATAATTGTATTATTACAAATAAACAACTTTTAGAAGTTTATCTATAAAATATTGTAATTATGTTAAATTGATGTAACACTGCTTATAATATTTATATATAGTGTGTCTAGGTGATTATGAAATTATTTTGTCTAAAGTTCTGGGAAATTATTGTATTATTATTTAATATTAAATGTAACAACATTTAAAAATGTTTATAATATGTATGTTTTATTGTTAAATATACAGACTAGTTTTTTATTTGTTGGATAGTTTATTTTGTACTAACAATGCCAATTTATTTTATATATATACATTTATTTCTGTAATTATATAGTACCATTAACTAATAAAATAATATAAAATTAAAAAAAAAAATAATAATAATAATAAATAAGTAGGTTATTTATAAAAATAAATGAAAGCTTAGCCTGGAGTATTATTATATTTATATGAATTAAAAATGCATTATCAGGTAAACAATGTCAATAAAATTGCGACTGGATATAAAAAAATAAAGGAAGAAATACATTAAGAAAAATTAGTCTTTTACATATAAATAATTTATTTTAACATGAAAGACTATTTTAAAATGAGTATTAGACATAGTTAAGTTAAAAAATATAAATACTTTGGTTATTATTATTTGACAGTATTGATAAAAATATTATTTTCACATCGGTTTGTACATTTAAAATATTGTTAAAATTATTTATTTTTTATCTCATTGTATACATATAACTCTTCTAAAACAAAATTAATTTAAATTTTACTTTGGATATTAAATATTTCTATGTCCGTATTGATATTAAAATGTATATTTTGGTTATTTTCTAAAACATGTTTAGCAAAATTTAAATTAAGGGCAGTCTTTATTTTATTACAGAAATGTGTTCTTTATATCTTATTTTAAAATTTATATTTATTTTTTCTACATACAATTAATTACATTTACATTTAAGTTAATATATATCAGCATTTTCAAAATAAGTGGGATTTTTTGTGAAGTTTGATTAAATTTATTTTTAGTAGCAATTTTAATTTATCTGTAAAAAATCATTAATAATTATTTTTTTTATGGTAACAATGGTTGCAAATAAAATATGTTAATGTTCTATGTTTAAAGAATGCATGTATAAATAATTATATACAGGGTATATAGAGTATATACCAGTGGCATACTCAGGATTTCTTCAAGGGGTTGTAACATGTATGAATTTTTTTTTTTTTTTTATAAATATTTCAAGTAATTTTCACTGGGTGGCAATTTTATAAAATTGTCTACCAGTGAAACATAAAGGGAAAATCAACTCATGTTATTACGGTTGTTATGAGAATGTGTTGGTCCACTGACGTCATGTGGTTATTTTAAATATCCAATACCTCCTTAAAATAATATTTTTATATAATATTTTATATATACCTTTATTAAATTATAAATTAATGGATAAAAAAAATTAACTAAGTTAAACATTGTCAAGTTTATAGATAGAAAATGGACAAATTTATACTTAATGGCAACAAAAATGAGGATCTAGGAAAACAAAAAAATGCTCCAAACACTGCTTTACAAAACCGTGAAACAAATAGTGAAGTTCTTCACAGAATTCTCGGTGATGCTGATGACCCTGTAAATGAAATACCCGTTTCAAGATTAGGTAAAAAAGATAGAATTGACAAAGAGCCCTACCAACCAAAATTTTATTTCCCTAGAACAATAATAGGCTCAAAATATAGTAGTTTCCAAATCGAATGGTATAATAAGTATTCGTGGTTAGAATATAGTTCTAAATAATAAAAAATAAGTTCATAACTCGGCATTTTGTTTTGACTGTCGTATGTTTTGTTTAAACAACCAAGCCACAACAGGTTATATTGATTTTGCTTTTATAAAAATAGATTTAAAAATTGGCATAGAGAAAACGAATGTTTCCATAACCATGAAAAATTTAAAAGTTATCAACATAGTGTTTCTTCTTGGAATAGTTATACAAAAAACAAACAATTGATATTTTGTTAGACGAGCGAAATATAGTGTATATTTAAAAACAAAATCAAGTTAAAATAAAAAAAAATCGTCAAATAATGGAAAGGTTAATTGATATTATTATTTGTTTATTAAAAGGAGGTAGACCATTTGGAGGCGATGACGAGAGTTAAACCAACATTTTCCAAGGACTATTTTTAGATTTAGTAGATTTATTGTCGAAATATGACCTCATTTTAAAAGATCACCTTACAAATGGAACCCATAATGCTTTGTACACTAGTGGAAAAATCCTAAACGAAATTATTATTAGCATAAGTAACATCATATTACGAAAAATATCACATTTCGTTCAGAATAAACTTATTTCAATAATGGCTGACGAAACAAGTGATTTTGGACACCATCAACAAATGGCAATTGTTTTGAGATTTTTTGATAAAAAACTTAAAACTCCAGTAGAACATTAAGTTGCAATTCGCAGACTTACGTCTGTAGACACCCAAGCTATTTTTAATGAGTTAAAAATTGTTCTCTCCATATTGAAAGTAGATTGGAAGAATGTATTATCAATTTGCTTTGATGGTGTGGCATCCATGTCAGGAAGTGTTTCTGGAGTTCAGTCGAGGTGTAAAAAATTAAACAGTAATATTTTATATATCGCGTGGAAGCTGTTTATATGATAAAAGTTAATTATTCAGTCATTCTTAAAGCTCTTACTGAAATTATTGAAATAATTAAATAAAGTTATGTTAAAAAGAAAGTAATTGGGTTATTGCATCAAATAAAATCTTTTAATTTAATATTTGGGTTAACAATGATGAACCCGATACTTCAATTAATAGTTAAAGTAATTAAATTTCCATATACCTCATTTGCTGTACTATAAATGATTCTTTCCACAATGAAGATAACATTTTTTCTGTGATAGATAATAGATATTATAAGGTCTATTATTATATTATTATTATACACACTAAGTATTTTTTAGATAAAAATATTCCATAGGTAGCGAAATAACAAGAAACGTTTTTTTAACGATTGGCCTACTGATAGGAAAAAAATTGGCTTCTTCAATTATTTACACACCCTTAAAAAACTGAAATGGTACCCCTGTTGTATATTGGGCATTTAAAATTAGCCGTTGAAATAATTATTGGAAATGGAAATTTTCAATTATTTTCTTATTCCCCAAATATGATGAACCAATTAAAAACCTCTCATACTACCAAATTAGTCATTTAAAATTATTTTTAAATCTGAAAAACTTATATACTATGCCTATTATTAATTAAAAGCCTATACTAACTCTCAATTTGGTTTTCGCAACTTCCATTCAACTATTCACCAAATCAACAGATTAATCAATACTGTCACCTTGAGGGTTACAAATTGAGTGTTCCCCTTGATAAAGCCCCGGAAAAGGCCGAACTTTCACAACCTGTACAATATGTTATTAATACCCATTTGGTGTTACGGCATTCAAATATGGGGAACAAACGAGTCACCAAACTTAAAAAAAATTCAAGTGTTCCAGTCAAACTTACTTCGCCTAATAACATGAGTCTTATTATGTCTCAAATCACATTTTACATTCCCATATTCATATTAACACCATATTCATATTAACACCATATTCATAACTGCATTCTTCTTTTACAACCGATTCCGATTCCGTCTAATTAAACATTCAAACTCTCTTATCAGAGAACTCAATTAGAATTTTATTTCGGGAAATACTTCTAGACGGTTAGTTCACCAGAAAACTCCTATATCAAAATTAACTCTTAATATAAATTAATTAAGTTAAAAGTGTCACAACTGGGTGACTATTTTATCGGTTAATTCATGCATATAAAAAATTCTTTCTGTCTATACCAGCGATCCCCACCAGGATTTTAGAAAGGGCTAAACGTAATTTTTGAAAATTACTTGCGGGCCGTATACATTTTTAATGACAATAAATAAAAATATAAAAATTACATTTATGTATATGTATTTTGTTAGGGAAGGATATTGTAAGAAAAAATTAATTAATGACATAAACGTTTTTCTTGGACATATAATTATACAATTATCTAATTATATTTCAAATTTCAATTCATAGTTTATTTTATACAAAATACAAATTATTTATGTTATTAGATTGATATGGATATTTTTTGATTAATTTATTTGATTTAATGTTGTTTTGATGATGATGGACAGTACCTCTCTGTTTCTTTTTTAATCTTGTTTATGTCCATGGGTGTATTTGATATTGATCTGTCTTGAAATATTCTGTTTATCTTCGATTTTACGTTTTGTCATGATAGAGAATTAAAATGTACGTGATAAAATATAAACGAACAATAAGCTAAAACGAATAAACTGTTACGCGGTGGAAATTAATAAACCCATAATTGTAGGTACCTACCTACTTATCTGCAGATAAGACATGTCCAACTGGTTATTCAATACAAGTTTATAATAG